GGTGGACACCTTTCTGGTTTCTGTATCTCGGATGTATTGGAGAAATACACTTTTGGTATCGTTTGCGCTCTTGGCACATTGTTTTATCCAAATGAAATATATTATGCTTGAAATGTGTCTTAATCTTATTCCTTACTTTCTTCAGCAAGTTATAAAAGGCTACAAAAAGCTCGGGCATACGCTGGCCATCTGGATGTGCTACAGGAATCTGCTCATGGAGCTGTGCTTTCACCTCGCAACAATGAAATATTGACCGAATTGACAGTCATTGTAGGTACCCCATGTTAGTGATGTTACTGGGTTGCTCCTACACACATCGAGCGCAGCCATGCAAGACCCTTTAATCCTAAGCTGCATACACCAGAGAGAGAGGATCGGATTGTTTGCGTCCCTTCTTTGTTGGCCAATGTTTGATGATAATTTGATCAATGTCAGGCGCAAGGCCATAGAAATGTGGTTTCTCTCGCACAACAGCAGCACAAGAGGAGTTTCTTGATATGCAAGCGATTTCTTATTCGACTTGAATAAACCTGAAGAAGTCCTGGCTTCCTCGTCACAGCATTTTCATTGCCAAGCTCATTCTACGCTGCTGAGCTGGACGTTTCATTCGACTTCTGTATTCTCGGGTTAAAGTCTCTTCTGATCAGCCTTCGATTCTCCAGCATGGCTTTTAATTTACTGCAGCCACTTGGAAATACAAGGCTTTTTCTTTTAGCAACCTTCACAACATTTTGTTTTCTGGGACTGTTTGCTCATCTTTGGACACCGCGGAAACGGTAGGAACGCACCTCGGGGTCAGTAAAAAAGAGTGGTAATCGAGAACTTTCTGCCTCACATGCTTTGGCGATGATACCAGCTGATGGGTCCCAGGCACAATTCTTCCCGTCCGGTGTCCGTCTCCTTATAGCTTTGCTGCTTTGAACAAAGTTGCTTCAGGGTACTACTAACTGTTGTGAATATTTATGTTACCAAACTGCAAATACAACATAGCATTTAAGAAAAAAAAAAAGAAAGCAAAAAAATACTGTATGAACAATTGTAACACAGCATCTTCTTGCTCCAACAACAGTAATCAACGCTTTAAATGCATGAGCACTCGTTTCATCAGCTCCCCAGCCTGTATTAGCTATCTTTCATTATACGACATATGGCTCATCATTATTTTTCTTTTCTTGTTTAAGACGGAAGCGGGACTGGATTGTGGCCGAATCAAATCTGATTTAGAA